GGGGTTTCGGGGAAGGAGGAGAGGCCAGCTGCCTGCAGCAGACATTACGGGAACCAAGGAACCCCGACTCTTGGCTGGTGCTCACTTACAAAGCATCGCCCAGCCTGACATGTGCTGGGTTGCAGAAACTAACGCGTATCTTGGGACAAAACCCTGGGTGATGCGCTGCTTTCTGGCCTTGGTCCGGCTTTGCTTACACCAGCAGGGGCCGGGGAGGTGGTATCAGGGCCGGCTTCCAGGTCCTACCACTCTGGCCTCCCCTTGCTCCCAAGGCGAGCAGGGAGCTCAGCATCAGGCCTGGCTGTGCCATTCATCATCTGACTGATCTTTGGTGAGATTCTCATCTCCTTGAGGCCTCTCCTATTTTTTTTTCTTCTGAAAACATCACTTCTGCTTTTGTGTAACTGGGATTAATACGGAATTGCCCTGAGAAAATGTTGGCCTTTGCCTTACTCTTGGTCCCTTCAGGTTCTCATCATCATTTGTTCACTCACTTGTTCCTTTGGGGCTCAGTCTTTACTTCATGCAGGAGTCTGGGCATACCAAGGCATGGCCAGGTCAGGCCCCCAGGAAGCCGACTGTGAGCCAGACCGTGTGTGCAGGAAGGTGACTGCAGTGAGGGTCACAGGCGTGGAGGAGTGACCCACTAATGCAGCCTCAGCTGATTGAACGGGAGCTCTCGCTCTCGGGTCAATCTTCAGGGTAGTCCTGGATTGAATCAGAGAGCTAAGCCTTCCTATCCCACAATGACCAGTTTTGGGTACAGACTGCCACTGGGAAGGAGAGGTAACCTGAGCTGGGTGTTCTCTTCAGCTGAGACAATCCCAGAACGTGGCCAGCATCTCCAGCATTGGCAAGTGCATGTTCTGGTCCAAGAGGAAGGATCCAGGATGGAGAACTGACACCAGTTTGCAGGCTGCCCTTGTTCTAGGCTCACCAGGGTTCTAGTCCTGGCTCAGCCACTTATCAGCTGGCCCTGGACAAGCTCCCTGACCTCTGTGACTTTGGGGTGCCTGGTGCCTGGTAAATTTTCCTGACTGTGAATGGTGGCATGCTTCACATGGTTGTGGATTTACTGAAAGTACGATACAGGACTTCGATGCTTAACACAGCAATAAACACTCACCCAGACCTTGGTGGGCTAATCTACCTAAGGTAGATTATATTGCCTCAGGGGAAGGTGCCACATAGGCTGTGAGGAGCACTGCCACTCCGGATAGTGGCACTGTCATTCTGACAAGGCCTACTCTCACCTCCAGGTGGCCAGTGGGTGACTGGCCGCGGCCCTCCTGCCCTCTATGAGAACCAGGGCACACTGTTTATGCACAGTCTCAGTCTGACGCTCTCTCTCTCCAGGTGACACAGAAGTTCTCCCTGGTGATCGTGCAGGGCCACCTCGTCTCGGAAGGGGTCCTGCTCTTTGGCCGTCAGCACTTCTACATCTGTGAGAACTTCACACTGTCACCCACGGGCGATGTCTACTGCACCCTCCACTGCCTGTCCAAGTGAGTCCTCTGTGTCCCCCAGCAGATCCTTCCCTGAGCCCCGCGCCATGCCCCTTCCCCTTCCTCCCGCCTCCCATCTTAGCTACTGGACTTGGGTTTGGGCCTGGGACTGAGACGGGAGTAAGACAGAAGACCCTACAGGCACAGGACATCCACGATTGTGGTCCCAAAACCTGAAACCTGCAATGAGTAACAACGTGGCAGGAAGGACAGAGGATGCAGAGGTGGAAATGAGATGTGGGGATCTTTCTTTAGGTTATTTGAGTAACTGGATTCAGTCGGATCCACTTACTCACGCAACTATTTATTGAGTGCTCATTCTATGATAAAAAAAAAAAAAAGAAAAGAAAAGAAAAGAAAAGAGATATTGGGGAAGTCAGTTGGTGTAGCAGTTACCTCACTGGATTCCCATATGGCTAACCATGGTTCAAGTCCTGGACCCAGTGGCTTGAAAATCATGCCAGGCATGTGTGTGCCTGCCCGAGAGCCTGGCAAGAAAATGGAGGGGACAGAATTGCAGCATGGCCATCTCCCCTTAGGGGTGATTTCTCACTTTTTCTCTCACTGTCTCTGTCTCTCTCTGGCCCTCTTTCTCTTTCTGGTGAGCACATATGCCCTAAAGCATAAATCTCTAAAATAAATAAATCAATCAATAAAAGAGGTAATTGTACCTCCACACTGAGGCACGTGAGGACAACAGCATAAACAGGCTTTTGGGGATGATTTCTTCGCAAAGGACAAAGCCTGTTATGGGAGGACTCTTGGTGTTTTATACTGGGAGAGATGAGCTGGGATGGTTCAGGGAGGGAGGGCTTCCTGAGGAAGTAGCTGAGGACTGGGCCTTCCGGGATGGGTGAGAATGGGATATAAATTTGTAGTCATTTTTACATCAACTAGTACCAGAGGTCTTTGATCAGAAATTCTGAGGTTGTTTGTTTCCAACTGAGTGTATTTGGTCTACCTGGGTACGAGTAAATTACTGATCAATTTTCTTCAATTTATGAAGTTCAGCCATTCAAAGTCAAATTGCCTGTGTTTATACTTTGGACAAAAGTCCAATTGTCAAGTTTTATGTTTTTACTTGATCATTGCTTTTGAAGATTTAGCTAAAACTTTCTTCACACAGAGATAGCTCTTGCCTTTTCTGGTTATTGAACATTCACACAATGACAAGATGTCTTAGCCTGGTGGCTCTCAAGCTAGCTTACATCAAAAGCACCTAAAAGACTTGTTAGGATGTCGACTTCAGGCCCTGCTCCTACTCCAGTTCTAGTTTGGTGGATTTGAGGTAGGGTCTAGGATTTTGACAAGCTCCTGCCTGTTGCTGATTCTACCACTGGTCCAGGACCACACCTCGAGAACCACTGTTTTAGGATATTGACAGAGCAATTAGAGTATGACATGCCATTAACTAAGAAATTTAACTTCTAATTGTCATATCACTTCCAGCCTATGTCAGGGAACAAGAGTCGGAGGAGTGTGGAAGAGTAACTGTTATCCCACCCTCCTTTGATTTAGATTTACTTTAAAATGCTCGGCATTTTTCTCTCTACTAATTTCCATCTTTTATTCATACCAAGTATTCACCAGTTGCTGCATGTCTTCTGTGCTTTTCTAAGCCAAGAGGAGCATAATTAATACTTGGCATACTCATTGCATCTTATCGCTCATGTTTTATTGATATTGATCAATATGGACAATGGGTCTGCAGCCTTGTCTTTCTGAGAGCTGGTGAAAGCTTTCTACTCTACCCATATGCATGGCGTACCGTGTGATGACTTGCATAATCCATCGCTTTCCTCTTTTCCTCTGGTTTAGACTGAGTTAGTGTTAGGTAAGACCTTATTGATTAGGTAAATTGTGTTTATGAGGTGCATCTAATCATGATGGAATTGACTGTACCTGCACTGTTATAGAAGCCCAGTGGTTAGGTTGTGTGTGTTCACTTGATTTGCAATGGCAAGAAAGCCTTTCCATATCTGGAAACGTACTTTGCTAGAATGTAAGTAAGTCATAGTAGAGTGAAAACGAATTGCTGTCCTGGAATGTCTTTTGGGAACTGCACAGGTCATATCTCAAAGCAGTGTTCGCTATTCAGACTGTACTTTCTCCCTGGGGTCTTGTCTACTGCCCTAAGAAACTACTGGCGCTCCTAGAGAGGCAGTACTCAAAGACAAGCTATTAGATCATGTCAGATCAATGGGGATTAAGTTTTATTTTGACCATGAAGACTAAGGAAGATACATAAATATGCCTGTTAAAAATAAAGCTAAGTCAACCCTGAAATGTTTCTCTAAAAGACTGCCATCAAATTGAGTGGAGTTGAGCATTAGACCTTGAGAGAGGCTCTCTGATGTACCATAAAATTATCCCAAATAAAGCTCAAGAACGCTGCAAATTTTCTATCAGTGATTGGACTTGTGTACTTTGGAAGTTTCCTCAGAAACTAAAAACTTTCTGAGAAGGTTACTATGCCTTGTAGTGCTTCCCTTCCTGGCTAAATAGGATGGCTGTATTATCAGGTCATTAGGAAAGTCCTGACACATTTTTGCGTAGAAAAATACATCGTGACTTTCTTGATGATCCAATAGTTTACTAGGACTGTCAAACATTGGGTGGCTTTAAAACCAAACCAAAGCAAAACAAACAAACAAACCAAAAAATCCAGATAGCTTAAATGTACATTTAAAAATAAATAAAACTAAAAATTTTGGGAAAAAATCCAGACAGCTATTTCATAGTCTTAGAGGTTAGAGTCATGACACTGAGGTGTCCACAAGGACATGCTTTCTCTGTTGCTCTAAGGGAGAATGGAGGTTAGAGTCATGACATTGAGGTGTCCACAGGGACATGCTTTCTCTGGTTGCTCTAAGGGAGAATACCTTCTTGCGTCTTCTAACTCCTGGGTTACGAGCCATCACTTGCACTCCCTGGCTTGTGTATCACTCTAGCTATGTGGTTGTCTTTTTCCTGTGTTCTTCCCAGCATGTTCCCCTCGTGTGCCTCTCTGTGTTCAAATCCTCCCCCCCTTCTATATTACAAGGGCACCAGTCATACTGGATTATGGCCCACCTTAATCTTCTTGTGCCTTGATTAGCTCTGTAAGTACCCTATTTCCAAATAAAGTCACATTCTGAGATACTAGAGTTTAGTACTTCATCTTGTCTCTTTTGTGGGACATGGTTCTACCCAAACAACATGCTCACAGGGTGTAGCATTTGATCCATTTTGTGGGAACACAAACCATCCAGCTGGCTCTTTGTATAGGCGCTTTTAATCAGATACTTCCTCCACCACAGTTGGCAGTCTTAAGGCATCATTTCTCTGTTTAATCCAATTCAACCAACGTTTATTGAAATATGTCTTGTGCTAGGCACTACAATGAACTTCATAGACATAAGAAATGAGTCAGATGTAGGCTGAGTCTGGTAAAGAGTTTATGACTTAGTGAATGATCCCAAGTATAATTCTGACAATAATCATATAACTCCAAATGTGGGGCAAAGCAGAGTATATTTTATTCTAAAATCTACTTTTACTACAAAAAATCTAGTCATCAATATTGTGACTATCATTAATTTTACTATGATTTCCCTACTAAGACTATTAAAAGTTATACAATGACCATTCTGGATAATTTTCATATATTGTGAAAACTGTCATGCAGCAAAGCTGTGAACAATATTCTATCAACTACAGCAACAGTTCCACCTAAAGGAAAACATAGAACAGCTGTCTTTCTACTCCTTCAACTTGGGTGCCTGAACTTTGCTTTATTTTGCTGGATGTGTAAGATGTAGTGTTGAAAATCACAACTGTATGAATAATGCTATATAAGATGGATCAAAATGTGGAATTATATCAACAGACTTAATAATGTGTGTAATATGATTTTTCCACATATTTGAGTCTATCTGAGGATTCCTGCTCAATGTCTATAAGCAGGAGAAAAATGACTGTCTTTTCTCTTAAAAGCCCCTATTCTTCCTCATGTCACCAATGTTTCAGAGTCCTAAGTTGCAGAATCACTCAGCAACAACTAAACTGAAAGGAGGGAGCTAATGGGAAGCGCTCTGTGTAAGCTAGGGAACCTTTCTCCCTCAAGGGCTGTCTTGGTCAGAGTTCTACAGAGAGACCAATACAGTATACACACACACCCCAACACACATATAAAATGTATATGCACACATATATGGTATATGCACACACACATACCCAACACACATATAAAATGTATATGCACACATTTATGATATATGTACACACACACACCAACACACATATAAAATGTATATGTACACATATATGCTATATGCACACACGTATAAAATGTATATGTACACATATATGATACACACACACATGTAGATAGATAGATAGATAGGTAGATAGATAGATAGAGATAGAAATAAAGGGATTTATTATAATAGGAATGATCTCATATGACCACAAGGTGGAAAAGTCCCACAATAGGCTGAATGCAAGCCAGAGAATCAGCTGAAAGACTCTAACTCAGGGAAACTGGTATAATTCCATTCTGAGACCTGAAATGGGTCCTTGAACAGCTTCTGGTATAAATCCAGAGTCCAAAGGTTAAAGGATTTCAAATCTGGCTAGCTGGAAAGTTGCAGGGACCAAGAGCCATAAAAACAAATACAACCAAACACTGAGTCGCGTAGCAGGGATGGAGCAGACAGATGTGCAGGCATGAAACACAGAGCACACTCAGGAAGATAGGGTAGACACAGAGAGAGGAAGAAAGGATGCCCGCGTCCTCTGTCCTTCCTGCATGCCCAGCTGACGATGTGGTACCCACCCACATTTTAGGTGAGCATTCTCCTTTCAGCCCACTGACTCATATGTCAATCTTGTCTGGTGATGCACTTATAAACACCCAGGAACAATGCTTCACCAGCCCTCCAGGCACCCTTCAATCCAGTCAAGTTGATATACACAATTATCACAGAGGAGAAAAGATATTATTGAGAGATCTTGGGTTTTAGGGTCAGGGGATCTGGATTTAAGTCCAAGTTCTGCCTCTTGTAACTGTATTTCCTTGGAAAAGTCTCATCTCTCTAGAATGAAGCTTCCTCACTTAAGTTAAGGAAGTAATAAAAAAAAATGCTCAGTAAAGATTCATGATGAGGATCAAATTAAACAATGGACAGAGCAGTTCTTGGGCTGTAGAGCATGACAGTCATTCAGCAAACATACCCATAGCACAGAGAAAGGTGCAGAGGTCAGAGATCCATGGACAAAAGCCTATGTCTGCCCAGTCCACAGGGCAGAGAAATCAACCACATGTGCAGATAAGGTGTGTAAGATATTTGCTGGTTCCAGTGAACATGTGGGAGCACGGAGGAGTAGTTATTATCATCCCCACCAGTACTTTGACCTACAGTTCTGTTTGACTTAAGCCAAGGGTGGGAAGTAGAATTCCACAATGGCCCCACTGAGAGTCAGAGAAGTTTAGGGGAAGCTCAGCCTTGACTCAGACCAAGGCATTAATAATAGATACAGGGCCAGCAGGAGGTTTTGAATTAAAACATCTGGCAGAAGCATCCAGAACCAAAGTCACATTTGTATTTGATCAACCCTACAGTAAAATAGCTCAGAGCAGAGGGTCTAGGAGGATTGTTCTGAATTAGAAGGGGCAGGAGGGGCTGTAAAGTCTGAGCTCACCTCTTTGAAGTCTAGCTGTGCAGGGGGCTAGACTGTGACATCCCCTGAGTATGCAAGTCCAAGATATCAATACTGCAGATGCTGGACCACCACTGATTGTGGATGGAGAACTCCTTCCTGGCCTGTATGACAGCCTAGTCTCTCGGCTTCTCCAAGACGCAGGTGTGCAAGCCCCATGGCCTACACCTTGGGCTGGAAGTGGGAAGTAGACTGAGAGCTTGGATTTGAAAGAAGTGAAACAATCCCTCACTCATTCTCCATCACCTTGGGGTGGTGCCAGCAGGACCACCTTGGAGCAGGGGCTCTTTCGTCTCTTGGCTCTCTGGGCCTGTGCTTGGCAGGCCGGCTTCCTAAGGGCTATGTCCTCGGGAGGCCCATTGTTTCTCCAGTCCAAAAAGGGCATTTGCTAAGAATTTTGTGGTCATACACAAAATTTAAAATGACTGCATAATCCACATGCTCAGAACTGTAACTCTCCATAACTGAAATCTATGTCGTTTTTCCATATTTGTTTTGATGGTGAAATCTTCCGCTGGTTACTTTGGTTACTTCCAGTGTACAAATCGTTCTCCTTAGGGTAAATTATTTGGGCAGATTCATCATTCTCCCTTCTCCATCCTCTGCTCTTCTTCTAAGGAGGGGTGTCATTCTGACATCTGGGAAGGGCATGTGGCCCGGCCCGGGCTGTGCCCTCTACCACACACCTGGCTCTGGCTCGGGGCACTGCTCAGTGTCAGCTGCCCACCTGCGCTCACCGCTTTCCAGCCATAGGCACTCTCCGCTCTGCACACCTACCTGGGGGCGTAGGATCTGCTGTCACATTCTTCCGTCCTGCCTGCTGCCCAGCTCCAGGCTCCCCACCTGCTTGAGGCCATGCTGGTCTCGGGTGGTTCGGAGGTCTGCCATCTTTCTGCCCTGCATTCTGGGAAGGAGGCCCTTCTGGCCTGACACTTCTCCAGACACAGCGTAGTCTCTCTTTCACTCTCCTTAAAGCCCCCTCCTCCCCTTTTGGACCTGGGAGGAGAAACCCTTTGGGGAATGCCTCCTGAGGTACCCACCAGACCTAGAAAAGCGCTCTCATCCTGGCCTCCTACAGACCACTCCTGTGTTCCTTAGGGCGGGCAGAAAGCAAGTCCCGTGTCACACTCAGGTCCCTAAGCCACACTTTGTGTGGATCCTGACAGTTCCCCATGCTTGTTTCTTGCTCTTCGGAGCCTGGCTTTGGGAGATTTCAGGAGACCGACTTCTTTCCTTCCTCTCACTGAAGTCTGGGCCTTGCAAGCCCTGACTGACCGCCCCTTCGGTGGTCTCCCTGTGTCATCACCCCTGCCTTCTTTACCGCGTCTGACCCCTCCTGGCCTTAATCTGCACTCTGTCTCTGTGGTCACCTGGCTTCCCTTGAACCTTTGAGCTTCCAGTTCTCTCACCCCCTGCTGAGTGTTCTCTACTCCCCAGTGCTAAGAGAAAGGGTCTGATTCGGACTGGTCCTTGCCACGTCTCAGGCCACACCTGACGAGGTGCCTGTCTAGCTATAGGCTGGTGGGCAGTGAGCACAGGAGCTCAGATGGGGCCCCGGAGGGCGGGCGCCCTCAGGCAGATGTCTAACGTGCACCCCATCTCTTGTCCTTCACAGCATCAGCGAGCCGTTCATCTTCAACATGTGCAGCAAAGATAGGTCCTCCGACCACTATTCGTGCCAGCGCCACGGGTATGGCGACCTCAGGGAGCTCCGACAGGCCCGCTTTCTCCTACAGGTATGCTCTGAGGAGCCAAAGGGGGCAAGAAGGAGGCCACCTCCCCTTGGGACAGGTAGTTCAGGCACGACCAAGGGATACACCACTGTGACCGCTGTGTGCCTGTGCACAGCCCAGTGCCTGTAGGAGAAGCCCGTGAGCCCCCAGGCTCCACTCTGTCTTCAGTTTATGCCACTGTCTACTGGCCTTCCTGTTCCATGGGGTCATTGGGGACCCAGTTCTTTGCCCTGTTTTGCCCTTGCCACACCCTAGAGCCTCCTTGAAGTTTAGGGGTACAGAGCAGGACCTCATGGGGTGGTGAGGGCTGAGACTCAAGCGCCCTCTGCCCTGCTCCCACCTCCCGACTTGGACACCCTCCACTCTCCACACTTCCTCCCCAGCTCTCCAGGGCTCACCTCTCCAAGCTCCCTCTCATTTCCCACCCCACGGTCAGGGTCCTTCTGACTGCCCCTCCACCCAGGGCTTCCCAGAGCCTTGCTGCTGCCTTACCATGCACAGAGGGAGCTGGTCAGCACCTCCCGCTTCTCACACATCCTCCCATTTAGCAGCACCACCTCTGTGGCAGAGGAAGGGGAAGGACCTGGGACCTGTGGCTTCAGTGGCATTGCCTCTGTCAGCAGAGCCTCAGCCCCAGCACCGCTGCCTCCTAACTCACACGCACTATCCCCCCCTGCCCCCAAACCCCCTACTGGCAGAAAAGGAAGGGTAGGGAGGGGGACCATGTGGGGAAGCTGGAAGGCCAGATCCCACTTCTCTGCAGGTGCTGGGTCAGTTCCAAAGACCAGCAAGGGGCAGTGCTGGCCCTGAGGCACTTAATCGGGGTGCCTTTCATTTGTCAATTAATCTGGGGTGTGTGGAGCTTTAATTTATCACATGAGCCTCCTGCAGGAGGCCTCCTAATTATTCTCTGAAACTAAAGTTCAGAGAGGCCTTTCAGGGAGTGAATTCCTGAGAGAAGCCACTGCCGGAAGAGGAGGAGGTGTGGCCAGCTCTGGGCCCCAGGCTTCTGGGGCGCCTCTCCCTACATTGCCCCTGCTCTTGTCTGCAAGGCTTTGCCTCTCATTCTGCACTCCTAGTGTGCTCCTTTGCAAGGAGAGTGAGCTATACAGGACACACAGAAGAAGCAGGTCCCCTCCCCATCCAGTGGCCATTCTGGGCAGTGGGGCTGAGCCTGGGCTTCTTCCCAGCAGTGGCTTGGCTCTGCCACTTCGGCTCATCTGGGCACCTCTCTGGGAGGTACGCCTTGTCTTTTCCACCATCACAGAAAGAGCTTAGCTTGTGTGGGGGAGCCTAGTAGGGACTCCAGATGTGTATCGTTTATGTCTACCTCACAGGTTACATGTGGTAACAAGTAGGTATCCCCCAGTTTCTTTTCCCCAGCGAGTGGCGATGGCTTCCAGATGGCTGGTGCCCCTGGCAGCAGTGGAAGTCAGAGTGGGAGGGTGTGTGCATGGCCAAGGGGCAGGGGTGACCTGGTACAGCGGCACCACTTGTCCAGCCCTGGATCCTTCCAGGAGGAGGTCAGAGCCCGGCACTCGGGAGCAGGGCAAGCACTGATTCCACACTTGCTTTCTGTTTTGTATTTTATTTACATTTTTATTTAAAAAAAACCTTCTAGCAGAGAAGGGGAGTTTTGCATATAACTTCCCTCTGCTGAGGAGCCTTAGGGAACTGGGCTCCGTGAGCTCATGTCCAGCCCGGCAGGAGCAGGCAGGACCCTGCTACAGATGCAGCTCCTCAGCTCGAGCCTGACTCCTGCCCTATCCCCCCAACCCCTCCCTGTCCAGGGTCCAGGCCTCACCCCTCCCTAAAGCTTGTCCCATACGTGGATGCACCGTATTCCCTGTTCCATGTCTGCTATTCATGTGGCTTGGAAGAGGAGAGAGGGAAAGGGGGCAGAAAGGAAAAGGAAAGAACATCACATAGATTTTATTTAGGCAAATATCCCGAAATGACATTGCAATATCAGCATGGCCATATCAAAATGGCTCAGGAAGATGGACTCGGCAAGGCACCCTGGCCTCTCAGTCTGCAAATCATCATACGGTGCAGGTGCGAGGGCTGCACCTGCCCAGCTGCCCCCGCTAGTGCTTCTGGTTTGGCAACTGCTTAGCTCAGGACCAGACCCACGACCCGGAAGTGAATGCGGCTGAAAGGGTCCTCGCTATTTTCTTCCTGGTTCGCTCATCCTGGGGCTGAGTCTTCTGCTTCCTGCTTCAGCGAGGGAACTGGGAGCTGTGTTGGGTCCCCAGCCCTCCCCCGTCCTGCAGGCCTCCCTCATCTGTCACCAAAGTCTTCTCCCTCCGGGGAGGTCAGAAGGACTAAGCAAGCGTGGTATCTGCCTTAGAGACACAAATGGCCCACCGCCAGCAGCTCTGCTGTCCAGGGGTGCTGGGGTCACTCTGGGGATCACCAGGAACTAACTGTAAAGGGGGTTCTCTTTATAGGACATCGCCCTGGAGCTCTTTTTCCAAAATGGATATTCCAAGTTTCTTGTTTTCTGCAACGGCGAGCGGAGTAAGGCGTTCAAAAGGTAAAGGTTTGAAAATGCCCCTGCTGAAAAGCCTGATCCTGAGGGGCAGGGACCGTGCCCCTCTGTTTCCAGGAAAAGTTCTCACAGCCCACAGAGAGCAGGGCTTAGGCTGGGCACCAGGGAGGACTTCCTCACCCGCAGTGTGCCGAATCCTACAGTAAGGTGTGGGCAGAGAGTGCCTCCCGCAGGCCTGGGAAACGGCTTCGTGCTTGCGGACTGAAGTAGCTGAGCATAGTGGTGACGGGTAGGGAGAGGGAGAATTGTGCAGATGCAACGCATTTCAGAAACCAACTGTTTTATGGCTGTCCAAAACTTGTCTGGTTTTATTTTCTAATTTTCCGAGTCATTTTTTTTTGGCTTACTCTTTCTGATCCCAGTTGCCAAGTTTGGTTGTTCCAGTTTTGTATTTTGTTGGAAAGAATTTCAAATAACCAACTTCCCTCTTGGACACTGAACATTTTTTCTTTAAGAAAGAAGCATGCTGTTTTAGTTTAACTTCTCTTTCTGCAAACAGATCCATCAATCTGAGAACTGTAAGCCAGTGTCTAAATTCCTAATACTATGGGTTATTTGTTATGATTATTGAAGTTAAGGAGATGGATCTGTAGTGACTCTCCGACCAGTGCTCACCAGGGGGAGCCTCGTGCTCTGCTCTGCTTTGGGTTGGAAAGCACAGGTGAGATTTGCTACCCATGGTCTGGAGTCCCTGCTTTGTGCTTGGGGTTCCAGCTTGGCCTTCCTGGTGCCGTGGCCAGTAACCGGCATCAGGCTAGCTGTGTGTCCAAGGGGCTGGGACACAATGGACTTCTGGTTTGGCAACTGCTTAGCTCAGGACCAGACCCACGACCCGGAAGTGAATGCGGCTGAAAGGGTCCTCGCTATTTTCTTCCTGGTTCGCTCATCCTGGGGCTGAGTCTTCTGCTTCCTGCTTCAGCGAGGGAACTGGGAGCTGTGTTGGGTCCCCAGCCCTCCCCCGTCCTGCAGGCCTCCCTCATCTGTCACCAAAGTCTTCTCCCTCCGGGGAGGTCAGAAGGACTAAGCAAGCGTGGTATCTGCCTTAGAGACACAAATGGCCCACCGCCAGCAGCTCTGCTGTCCAGGGGTGCTGGGGTCACTCTGGGGATCACCAGGAACTAACTGTAAAGGGGGTTCTCTTTATAGGACATCGCCCTGGAGCTCTTTTTCCAAAATGGATATTCCAAGTTTCTTGTTTTCTGCAACGGCGAGCGGAGTAAGGCGTTCAAAAGGTAAAGGTTTGAAAATGCCCCTGCTGAAAAGCCTGATCCTGAGGGGCAGGGACCGTGCCCCTCTGTTTCCAGGAAAAGTTCTCACAGCCCACAGAGAGCAGGGCTTAGGCTGGGCACCAGGGAGGACTTCCTCACCCGCAGTGTGCCGAATCCTACAGTAAGGTGTGGGCAGAGAGTGCCTCCCGCAGGCCTGGGAAACGGCTTCGTGCTTGCGGACTGAAGTAGCTGAGCATAGTGGTGACGGGTAGGGAGAGGGAGAATTGTGCAGATGCAACGCATTTCAGAAACCAACTGTTTTATGGCTGTCCAAAACTTGTCTGGTTTTATTTTCTAATTTTCCGAGTCATTTTTTTTTGGCTTACTCTTTCTGATCCCAGTTGCCAAGTTTGGTTGTTCCAGTTTTGTATTTTGTTGGAAAGAATTTCAAATAACCAACTTCCCTCTTGGACACTGAATATTTTTTCTTTAAGAAAGAAGCATGCTGTTTTAGTTTAACTTCTCTTTCTGCAAACAGATCCATCAATCTGAGAACTGTAAGCCAGTGTCTAAATTCCTAATACTATGGGTTATTTGTTATGATTATTGAAGTTAAGGAGATGGATCTGTAGTGACTCTCCGACCAGTGCTCACCAGGGGGAGCCTCGTGCTCTGCTCTGCTTTGGGTTGGAAAGCACAGGTGAGATTTGCTACCCATGGTCTGGAGTCCCTGCTTTGTGCTTGGGGTTCCAGCTTGGCCTTCCTGGTGCCGTGGCCAGTAACCGGCATCAGGCTAGCTGTGTGTCCAAGGGGCTGGGACAGCATGGAGGAAAAACAGCCGCCGCAGAGGGGCTGTGTGTACCAGCTCTGGGAGGGCCTCGTCTGACTCAGTGAGCTTCCCAGTGAGGTTCTCCTGGGGGCTGCTGATAGTGGCCTCCTAAACTTGTCTTCAAGGCCCACTTTAGACCAGACTGAATACAGAACATGTAATCCTGAACTTGGAGTACTTCCCCCACCCCCCACGAAATCTGTGTTTTAAACAACGTTTTTCAATTAATCTAGAAGTCTTCTACATCCACAGTGCAGGCCTAATATAAACTCCAGCTATCCCCTACCCTGCTGAAATTAAAGCGCCTTACATTAAAATGTGTCTCCAGAGCCACACACTGGAACTTAAGCTAGTGGTTGTTGAAACTGACAGTAGATATGTCCAGTGCTGGCCCAGAGGAGGAACCTAGAAGACACACATCAGCCCAGTAACTACTGTTTTATTTTTACCATTGTTACTGTTCAGGCTAGAGTACGTCACGCCAGAGGGTGCCTTGGGGTTCCACCCAGGCCTGAGGTGGTGGGATGTGTAATGGAGGGAGAAATGGATTCACTGACAGAAGTGTTCCTCTGTTTTTGTTTAGCTTCTGTTCTTTCCAACCCAGCTTGAAGGGGCGAGGCACCGCAGAGGACCCCCTCAGTCTAAGGTAGGGCGGGGCCGGCTGTGCTTTCTGTGCACAGTGCTACCCACGCTATGTTTCCTCATCCCTCAGGTCCTGCTCTAGAGAGGTCACACAAAGAGCCCAACAGTCTGTTCCCCTTTATTTTTCTCTTTCTTGCCTCAAAGATCCATCATCCTATCCTTGAAGTCCCTCCTCTATGAACAGAGTTGAAGTCCCATGTTCTCTGTGGATTTTTTAGACCTGAATGGCAGGAAGTGGCCCTTTGCTGGTGACAGTGGGCAGATTACTCATAGAAGTGTCCACACAGCCCCAGCCTCTGGGATCGGGCTCCAAGGTGGGGTGTGAACGATCCCAGGTCTGTCCTTCCCATAATGAGAGTTTCTGAATGAGCAGAAGGTCAGTCAACACATGTTTGTATGTAGACCAGATGCTAACATGCAAATCTCTGTCTGGAGTGTCTTCCTTGGTGAATGAAATGCTGACAGCCCCTACCCAGGGCCCCCTCTACAGGCACCAACAAGCATTTTCATTTCAGTTAGGAATAGCGGTAGGAAGGTGAGGGTGGTCGCTGATGTTCTCTAGATGAGCGTGGGGACAGGGCAGGAAGGGTGTTTACGATGATCTTCAAACTATCTATAAAGAGTACGGAATGAGTCTCGCCGATTTATTAAAAATTCTTTACGATGGCTTGTGGTATGTGATGGTTGCTGCTTGACAGAGAAGCAAGAAAAGTAGTCGGAGCTCCTCCTGACTGTACTGAGTTGACAGTCTCATGAGGAGGACAAACATAAAACAATTCAAATGAGTGAGTTATAAAGTGTATCAGATAATGATAGGAATAAAAAAAATCAGATTGAAATCTTATTTGGAGTAGAAATGGGAGTCCTGGTCAAGAAGAGAGTATTTGAATTAAGACTTGAATAAGGTTGGAAAACAAGTTACTTCAGGCCAAGGGTAGAATGAGGAAGGTTCTAGACCCCAGTGGAGCGGAGCTGGGTGGTGGAGTGCAAGGAGCTGATGGGAGTGGAGGTAAGAGAGGGGACACGTCAATCTGGGTAAGCCATGGGGCACATGGTGTTGGTGCTGGCCTTTATTCTGAATGAATGGGAAACACTGGAGGGTTTTGAGCTAAGGAATGATAGGGTCTGATTTCTATTTGAAAAAAAACGCTCAGGCTACTGTCCTGAGAATAGACCTCAGGTCAAAGGCAGAAGATGAGGCTGGTTTGGAGGCTGTTAGGAAAATCCAGGTGGGAGATCAGGAAGGCATGGATCAGGGAGACGGCAGCAAAGACAGTGTGAAGTGGGTAGATTATGAACATGGTTCAAACCTACATCTGATGGGAAGTGACAACAAATCAAGTATGTGCTACATATGTGTGACAGAGAGTTTAAGGGTAAAACCAAGAATTTGGACTTGGACAACTGGGCATGAAATGGGGACAACCTCGGGAAGGGCTGCCGTGGGACGAGGAGATATCAGGAGCTCAGTTGTGGCTGTGTGAGTTCCACGGTGCTCCTCACACAGCCACGTGGAGGCATTGTGGAGGCTATTGGACACATGAGTTTGGAGCTCATAGGGGAAGTCCAATGAGAGGTAAGTTTGGAAGAGTGATTAAAGACATAAGAGTGGAGAAGACCGTCAGGAGAATGCATGCAGTGGTCTGATGACAGTGTCCCGAGCACACCAACCTTAGAAGGTAAGGACTTGGGGAGGAACCAGCAAAAGAGATAGAGGAGGACTAGCCAAGAAGGTGACAGAAAATTCAGGTGTGAATAATGTCCTGGAAGCCAGGTAGAAGGTTTCAAGGTGGGAGTGGCCAAATGTTGTTGCTAGGTCAAGTTGATAAGAGCTGAAAAATTGCCATGAACTTTTCAACATGGGAGTCATCGATGACTTTCTATAAACCAACAGAGGTGGCTGCCAGCAGAGGCTCCCTGATGCACCAGATGTTACCCTTTAGTGAGAGACTGGGGAAGTTCAAGGCATGAAGGTCACTGTAGGTGGGATGGCTGTCCTCATAGTCCACTAGTTCAGCAATGGTCCTGCCCTGTGGGTGCACGTCACCCAACATCAGCGCTGGCCACCTCATATTGGTTATGTTTCATGTGAGCCTGATTGTCCGTGCCTGGATTTCGCAACATTATTTCAGTGCAAATGGTAGAAGCCCACTTCAAACAATCGAAGACGGTCTGCTCCAGTTATGGCTGGATCTTTAGGCTTAAGTTAGACTTCAGGAAGCTGTGGCTCTCTATGTCCTAGCAAGGATTTCCCTGGGACTATCTCCATGCTCGGCAGACTTTCCCTGCACAATGGCACCAATGCCCCCGTCAGGCTAACAGTAATATGTAGGAATTCTGCCATGCATTTTTTATCTTGATTATTTTAGTGAAAGTCCACAAACTCATTTTCATTTTTCCAAGTTAGGTTATATGCCAACCCTAAAACCAACAAACGTTTTCATCGGCCAGATCAAGATGGTATGAGCATCCAGCTTCTGGGGGTGACATCAGTCCCACCCAGTGACACAGACCACACTGAAGGGGAGTATGTTTCCTTAAGAAAAAATAAGACAGGTGAATACTGAGGCATTGACAAATGCAGGTGGCCGCCCACTTCTCCACGCAGAGGGCACTGCCGGCCACCTAAGCAGCCACTGCCGCATGTCCTCTCTCTCCTTGGAGCAATGCTGCATCAGCTGTGACACAAACCCCTTCCCTCAACCAGCTCACCCTGTCATAAAAGGTAATGGGTGGGATCACTGGAAATAATGTAGTTGTCCCTATAGCTGTGAGTGGCCCTCTGTCCATTCCTACTCTATTATCCTCAAGAGTCTCAGGGGAGATTTGTCCTGTTGTCACGTACCTTCATCCACACTGGTAAATTCCAATGCAGAGAAAAGCTGCACTCAGGTTATAGCCACTGAGTTGAGGGTCCCACAGAAATGATCAACAGATGGTAAGAGGGTGATTCTCTGCACATGAGTCAGGTGTCTGGATGTTGGTCCTCACCCACTTATAGGCTGATGGTGACCCTCAACAACAACCTGAGTACCACTCTGCAAGTGTGGACAGGTAGACACTGTACTGATTTTGCTTACAGTGTGATTAACTTGGCACTATGGCCCTCTGAGTCCACTGAATCATGCTTGGCATCTTCCTGGCTCCCGTGGCATGATTCTGCCATGCCTGGTACCTTCCCAACACAGCCTCAATTGTGGAGATCCTAGAGCAATCTTCTGAGGTCAGATGGGAACAGTGCATGATGCTCTAGAGAAATGCTTATCTCAGCTCATCAGAGAGCCTCACAACACGAGGACACCCAGTGGCATGCTGGTCCTAGATTCTGAGGCCACCCAAGCAGTCAGGGCATGTGGTGAGACTGTGCTAGAGAGCCAGCCACAAGCTTTCAGGTCAGGTAGGCTCAGGCCATGGTAGGTGCCCAGGAAGTGTGATTGCCTTGCTTCGTTTTAGAATCTGCTGCTATGTACTGGGGACATGTGAATGGGACAGTCGATTAAGGACATGCAGCTGTCCATGCTCTCAGCCTTTCCACCTTCCCATTCCTCCTTCAGCAGCCGTGGTGTGGCTTCAGGGACTCCATGGGGGAAGGCACTGATGGCCCCTGGTGTCAGGAGGGCTTGGCTAGCCATTGTCACGTGTTTAGAATGAACTCGACCATTTTCCATTTGTATGACCAGGGACAATAGATTGAGTCTTGAAAACTTGGCTCATTGGATGCACTAGTGAGCGTGGACCTTTCGTCTCTAGAGGATGTGGGTGGAGTTCTAAGGGTTTCCAACTAACTGATGATGTTTCTCTCTACTATGGGTTTTCTTATCTTTAACCCACAGCCCCAGACTTATCTGGCTCCTTTGGTGTAATTCCCCACCTCTGGAAACTGGTACTTTCAGTACCAGACTTTTGTCTAGAATTCCATTGACAATAGTCACCTCCATACTCACATACAGTTCTCTGAGCTTGGGTCCCAGGTGGAAAATGCTCTCAAATCCTAAATAAATCTTGGATTTACAACCCATCTGTGTCACCCTACCCTATAGTACAGAGCTATACCCTCTTGAAGGCAGAGGGGAGCATGATCAGGCTTCTGCAGTGTGCAAGGCTTATCAGCCTGCAGGACCTTCCAACAGGAAGCCAGCTAAAGCCTTTGGACAAGTCCCCTTCATGACACTTGAAACAGAATCTGTTAAGATGTGAGGGGGATCAATCAGACAAGGAGAAACAGTAACAG